TGATGAAACATGATGAAAGACTTTTCACGTTTATTAAACAAAGTATCAAAATGTTCGTTTGTTGCTAATGTAACAGACGTGCAAGCACGAAGGAGAACGCATTCTGGGCAAACGCGATCCACCGTTGAATTTCTAATACGACGGAGACCGCGAAACGCGTTTGTTCGTGCTCTATCCGTGGAAAACAATCGCACGGTCAAAGGGTTAATGAACTGCGACCACGGTTGCGTGCCGGTGGCCTGGTCGAGAAGATAACGCTAATAAGCCTCGGAATAGCGGCGAGTAAATTATCACCGGGAATAATGGAAACTCCTTTCGCGGAAGCGCGTCGACGGGATCGGGTTTAACCCTTTCGCCGCGCCAACCCGCGCCTCGTCCAGAAATCAGACGCGAAACAACCGTCGGACAAACAACCAATTCAGATTCATTAGCTGCGTGTACGTACACACGACACGCGTTAACGGGGGTATCTTTCTATTCAATTATCGCATTAGAATTGACGGTTTCTAATTAAAATACTCAGAGAAAAGGCGAGCATACTTTTTATGCGATGAGAGATTGCATTCATTTGTAAAGAGCATTCCTGAATCGCATTCGCATTTATTTCATTTTAATTCAATTCAACCGATTTCCTGTTTTTTACTCGCTGCTATAATTGTACGTTTCTTCACTGACCAATCTAACTGTCAACACGAAACGTCAGCAAAAACCTTGGTAAGATTAATTAAAAATGCGCATTATCATCGGAGTTCTACGTTTCGCGGTGGACATCCCGTATGATTGACTAGTTTCCATGTAGTTTGTCGGGAAAACACGTTCGCCACGGGGGATGATGTATGATGCGCGCGGAGGGGGGGGGGCGAGGGCGGGGATGGACAGGGTTAAGGAAAAAAGGAGGTCGCGGTGTCCGGGGTTTCACGGGTACGACGAAACGAGGGTGAACGCTGAAATTGATGATCCAACCCGGAATATCCTGGCCGAGGCTTTTATCATAAGTCACCGCCGTGCCACGCCGGCGATTTTTCGGCTTCCATCGGAAATGCTCGCGCTAAGCTCTCTTCGCCTTCGCCTTTTCCGATACCCTCGACGGTCGGTGTCTTTGGTACTTCCGCGATCAAAATACTTCTGTATTTATAAGTCGTAACTATAAAATTGGTAGATCATTTGCACATGACTTGTCTACATATATTCAAAACACGTCTTATTCGGAGCAGAATTGGCTTCACAAATTTTGAAACAATTATTAAGAAGCATTACAAGATATTTTAAAAATTAAATGAAGATTGTCATTAACAAATGAGAATTAATTCACAGAATCTTTCTAGTATTCAACGTCAGCTGAGATTAGTTGAAATCAGATTTACGTTATTCCTAACTAGAATTCTTATGGACCCGATCCGTAGTCAGCTCAATAAGGAAATGCTGTTGGAAGATAAACAAGCACAATACATTCTGTTGGTGCAGTGGCTACTGTATCTAATTTACTGCAGCGCATTTCCAGTGTCGATTCCTCGAGAGAGGCTCGAGAGTTAAATTCCGCCGAAAGGTACGATGGCCGAGAAACCGTAAGGCGAAGAAAGCGAGTCGAAGCGGGGATAAGAAAAGGATCGTGGCAAGTTTTAAAACGGTTCCACCGGTTTATCGTGCCGATCCGATCTCCCTCGCGCGAGTTACATTCGCGGCGTGACGGTTCACAGATTGAAATCGGACAAAATTCGATAGGAGGGTCGAGAGGGCTGTATCTTGCCCCGGGAAGCACCAGTTCGTAAACTGCGCGCGATCCGATATATCGGGTCTGGATGCGCTTTATTCCTCCCGGCGGGACGCGTTGCCCAAAACTCATATTCCAAGAACCCACGCAATGGAAACGATTCCTTTTTTCCGCGCAATTATTTCTCTTCTTCTGGAATAATGTCTAGATTTTAATAACAATAAAATTTTAGCGAGACCGTAATCGCCGTCTGCTTCTATCAAGATAAAAAACAATTTCAAGAATGCCTCACAATTTTTACTCATACATTATTCGTACGAGTAGGAAATTGCATAGGATCTTTCTTGTATCTGGCAACTGAAGCTACAACTTTTGTTTAAAACATTTTTCGCTAGCGTCGACAGATTTGTTGATCAATGAATAGAGTGGAGACAGACTACTTTTGATGATAGTCGTCGATATTCGTAGTATCCAAAATGTAAACGTATAAAATCTAAAATACATTCTGTCTCGCGTGTTTAAATTAAGTAGAACTGGTTCGAAATCGTCGAGACAGAACGACAGAATTGATTAATTGATTGATGGGGTAGATCCCGAACCTTTCAGTGGCCTTGAACGTGCAACTGATTCGAAGCGCAGAATAACTGACCCATATCGTATTTAGCAGCTCTGTTCCTAAAATCAATCCCGCCAGTCCCTTCGGGCTCAATGATTTAATAACGTGCTCATTTCAATATTCCTGCACCTGCTCCGATGTGAACATTTATTGAAATACGGAATTCCCATTTAATATTCTTCATTCCCAAAACTCAACTTCTGAATTAACATGCATGGTTTCATTACCGTCTATTTTTAGATTGTATGCAGTATCACTTGAAATTTTTATTTGTTGATTTTACTAAACAGCCTCAGGCAATGAATTTTGAATTGATAAAATACGAGAATAAGTGCATAATTTATTTTAGTAAAATCAGAAAATTTGTGTATATTTCTCTCAAACAGTGTATCGACTCATTCTAACTGAGACTATAAATATATAAATAAATTCAACAGAGAATCGTTTGAAACGAGGAAAAATAAAAAAAACAAATCGCGAGGATAATAAAAAGTCTCGGGATTCGTAAAAATTTCTTTGATCCACGAGTTTCACAGCTCGAAGCGTCGTCGGTCGTCGCGTCCCGGGAACACGTCGTCGTCGATTGCAAGTTTTTATCGGTCGGCCTCCAACTTTGTGGCCCCGTCTTACGTTAGCAGAACTTCATAAGCGGCGGAGAGAACGAGCCGGAAGTTTGCTAACGGGCTGACTCAGCCGGTTCCTCTCGACACGCCGACGAATTCGCGGTAATACGCAACGATTCTGCTGAAGGCTCGTAAAAATGTCCGATCTCTCGCCTCTCCTCTCTTTCTCTCTCTCCCCTAAAGATTTCGACAAACCACGGCTCAAAGGAACACCGTTTCGTTTACGTCCCCGCGAATACTTTTTCTCGACTGAACGTGAAACGCGAACCGCATTGTGCGTCGGCTTCCACAGTGATTCTTTAATTTCTTACGGAGTTGTGCGATTTTTAAGATCCGTTACTCTCGAACAACATGGAAGTCAAGAAAGATTTTTCACTTTCGTCTCAATAGCACAACAATTTATGCTTAAGGTATCCAAGTACTTCGACCGTCTTATACTTTGAACATCTATTTTAAGTCACAGACTATCGACTTATCGAATATCGAAGTCCTTACACATTATCTACGAGAAAAAAGACAAATTCTCTGAAGGTAACAATTTCTTCTCTCTAAGAACTTAAAATAAACAAAATATCCAGAAACTCTGCAAACGAATAAAAAAAATGCGAATTCTTCAAAAATTATATTATAAAGTTTTTACGGAATACAGATAATGATATTTGTGTTACTATAACCGATTTTTTAGAGTAGAATTTTACAACTAGTTAGTTGAACGCGAAACAGGTTTATAACACTGATATCGATTTCTCGATTCCTTTTTCCACTCGACGTCACTGATAAAACTCGGTACCAAGATAAGAGAATCCCAGGGCTTGTCTGTTGTCATCGCAGACGGACAAGAGAGAAAGAGCAAGGAGGAGACGTCGATGCAGGTGTTCTTAAACGGGCATACAGAAATACAGAGGGGGGGTCTAGCTAATTATAAAGTTAAATTAAATATTGATATGCAAGAGTTCAACTTCCACGAGGGGGTAGCACGGTGCCCAGTGGAATTCCGCGATCCACTCGGATACGGGATGGCTCTGATCGACAACGAAGTTGCAAACAAACGATATTTAAATAAGCAGGTAACTTTCGTGTAATTAGAAGAAAATCTATCGGACCTATAATATCGTAATGAGATTCAATGAGCTAATAAAAGAACGATATTAACCCTTGTCCAACCCTCATTTTCTTACCATTACCTGTTAAATAAGGCAACGGTATACGTAAAAAGCATGCTAATGTAAAATACACAGTAATAAATATTAAATATATCCACGACAAAACTCGTTGATTGTCCGAACGATCTGAATTTCGTATTTATCACGGAAAAATCGGAGTGGCGCGTGACACTGAAACGGGAGGGGCGCGCCGCGAATCGCAACAGTTGACTCATAATTCGCGGATCGTTCCAATTTTAATCCCGACCGCGAACGGTATTTATAGGGGAGCTTTTACCGGGTTCCCTTAACGAGCTGACTCAGCAAACGTTGCTGTCTCATCGGCCGAGGGATCTCGGAATAAGAAGTACGCGTCCTAAAATTGCTGCAACGACTCCGAGTAAGTGTGAGCGTTCACGCGATCGTCGACGGTAACATCGTGGAAAAATACTCCACCGAAATGATTCATTACACGTGACCGCAGTTAAGAGCAAACGCCAATTTGTATTCCGTGCACCACTCCAATTTCGTTCATTTGTGTACTACGGTATGCATGCACTCAATCTTCTCTGTTACGGTCATCGAGATCGATAACAGTTTTCAAATAAAAACCGATGAACGATATTTGTTAATAGCTTTAAAGTAAGCACAATTACTAACGATCTTCAATTATGTTTCTCGTACAATATTATACTACATACTTTAACCTTTTCATCTTGGAAATTGAAATACTGTTATCTCATTTATGTTCACAATCAGCATAAATAATTTTAATAAATTTTGACCAAACATTATTTTAAACATAATTTAGAAATTGATGTATCGTTCTTATAAGTTCATATAATTACTATTTCTTAAAAATCTTTTGACGATGAGAAGCCGCGAGGTGAAAAATCGACGGTACTCACCGGACTCCGAGACGGATGGACTGCCCGCAGACCTGTCGGAGTTCCTGGAGCTGGCCGTGGAGCTGGTGGACGAGGCCGTGCCGAGCGAGCACTCGGACACGCTCCGCCGTTTCGAGAGGAGAGCAGCGGCCGCGGCTGCGGCACCGGGGCCGGTCGGGGCGCTCGAGCTTAACCCGTGCAACCCGTGTAAACCATGCAAACCGTGCAACCCGGTCTGGCTCGTCAACTGCTCCAGCCGTCGCCTGAGGAACCTCTGCTCGCGGGACAGCTGTTCCTTGTGCACCGCGTGCTTCCGTTCGCGCTCCTCCAGATTCTGCAACACGAACATTATCGCACCATTTACCTTCCGTCCGTGCAATGGTTCAATTTAATTAAGGTCATCGTTCCTTGCATCAATTTTACGAAAGATTGCTGTGCACATATCTTAAAAACAAGATAAATCTAAAGAAACTGTTTTCTAAACATCTGATTAAAAAATTGTTGAAATAGAACCTAATTTTATAAGTAGACTGCAGATTTTATGCATAAAACGTACAAAATTTTGTAGATCGTCTTAAGTATAATGCATATTATTTTTTTAATTTTGTTACAAGTTTTATTTCCATATAAATAGTCATAAATAATCTCTGGCAAATTATACTCGAACTTCTATAATTTCGAACCTTCGTCTTGAGAAATAAAATTCATTTCACTCAATTAATCATCGGAATGATTAAAATAGAAAGGGTAAAGCATATTATATCATTCTGCTCTGAATTTCATCAATCACTTTATTACAGACGTAGCTCAACGCCGGGATTTAATCCCCTAACTATTCATCCCCTCAGTCGGTCGTTGAAAAGAAAAAATCCCTCTACAGGTAATCCCATTGGCAACAAACTCTGGAAAACACATTTTTAATGCGTTTATGGTAACCGGGGAACCGCGTGCAAGAGGATTCTCAACGTTAACCGTAGTTTCCGGTCGCTACGCGGCAATTGGCTTTCGCCTTTGTCCCGTCTTCGTTTCGAAGATTAATTCCCAACGGATACGAAATTACTGAAAAATCGCGGAATTAACAGACGGTTATACGTTAAGCTCTCGCGGGGGACGGCGATAAAACCGCGACTAATTCGACCACGCGAAAAAAAGAAAAATAGATAATTTAGGTTTCTCGTCGAGAATTCTCGTGTCAATTAACGCAGAAATTCTGCGATGTTACATTTCTGGTTGAAAGAATTGTAAAATTGAGTATAATTTAAGTAACAACGCTGGGAAACACAATTTCAGATCTCAATTATAATTGAAACCCATACAAGTTGATTGCGTAATTACACACGATTTTAATAAGATATGTTTTCTTTTAATAAGATTAGAACTGAGAATGAGAGGTGCATAGTTCTCCGCATTTAAATTATTACGTTAACGTCTAACAATAGTTTGTAAACTCCAGTTCGCAATTAAATTCGTAACGAGACATATCTTTTCTGGCATCGCGCTCCAGTTTATCACTTCGTATAGCCATCTAATTCATTTATCATGTCATACAAAACTTCTAATTGAATGATAAGTTGGCAGCCAGTTATTAATTATCAAACGCTACTTACTTTCTATAAAAATAATCCACCGTTAAAAGTTGCTTACAAAGAGTAATATCCTCCTCGATCAGCAAATTATACTAATAGTTTATTTATGTACGTACGATTCTTCTATCATATTTACATACGCTTTTAGCTCGACGCGGCGAAGCGAAATTTATCAATTCACTCATTAAACTGTTTGTGCTACGGCGGGAAGGGGAATTACGAATCCAGGAGGCTCGGTAGTACAAAGCCGGGCAAGAAGACAAAGCTTGTTCGACGAGAAGAATAACCAAGAATACCGGTGTATCAATATTTAATTTAACTTTATAATTAAGTAGACCGTCGCGTCGTTCGTACAAGAATATCCAAGACAATCGGTTTCCAAACGGACAGGAGACACTGGATTCCCATCGCAATCGGATTTGTCGCTATTGTTGAGGAAAAGAACGAATCTCCCTGCCCGCACCGTGATTCCCTTTGACTTAAATGAAAAATGTTTCCCGCGCTCGCTCGCGACCGATGCTCCTTTTTAAAAGTAACTTCGATAGCTCCGGGGATCCCTATCGATGACCGGGAAATAAATGAATAACACGAGACAATCGTCCTACTTTCTTCCGTAATTCTTTTTCAATAAACAAAGCCAATCCCAACTTCTTGTCGAGTAAAATAAAACAGAACCACATACATAACGTCTGAAATAACGTAATATTTTATTGATTCCCTTGAAAAAGAGAATGTACATTAAATGAAAAAATTGGAACAATCTTTATCAGCCACAATAATACTCAAACATTGAAATTTGATAAGAACGACTATTCTTTAATTCTTCATCTGTTCATTAATACTATCAGAACGTCTCATACATTTTATAATGTATCCTAAGACTTGCTAATGTATCCTAAGAAGAGTAGATATTATAAGCGTTTCATTAACTACATTTATCGACTGTTCTTTTGTTTGTGCGCGACTGCGCTTTTAATTAAAACTTGATAATATCGGGTAACCATTTCGCAATAGGCAGCTCTCGCTCGTCTACGCGGACGAAAACAGAATCCGAGCGAAGCGTGGCTGGCTTCATCGGACAAGAGTTAGCCCGGGTAGATTCAATTAAAGAAGACACGGGGTAATATCCGTGCATCGAACGCGACCGATCGAGGAGCAGTAATTAAGGCGACGGATCACGCGATCGTGAATTTTACTTAACAGACCGTCGACTCGCGCTCCCGCTTTTTACCCATTCGTGACTGGATCGAATATGCATCGAGCTCGGAATAAACCGAGCTCGTCGATGTTTGACGTTCTCCTCGTTTTTCACAGGAACGTGATATTTATACAAACAATTTAAGAGACGACCGATGGACAATGTATTGTCCCACGTGGCGTGTCACACGATCCTAATTTGGCCAGATGATTACAAAAGGTGTAAACTCGCGGACGGCAGATTAATTGTATGATAATTATCGTAAATGTTTTGAATACGAATGGGAATATAATTGTAAACCGCCCGGGTATCGTTATGAATTATATTTGAATATACATGCAAATTACGGTCCGGCGCAATTACACCGACAGTGGCTACAATATTGTTACAATGCATATTATACCAACGGCATGTATCTCGCGAGCTATCAATAGAACCGTAACCCGGCTGACACGTCTTGAAATATGTCCTCGATGAATTTAGAGGCCTGAATGACGATATTACTCGAGTATTAATATTAACTGCGTCCAGTGTCCGTATTGCGATACAATTTACCAATTTGACACGAAATGATCAACAGTAATTTCGATATAAATCAGCGGTACTTAATTAGTGCTTCGAGCCTCTTTTATCAATTTCTACGTTAATATCGTAAGAGTTTCCGATACAAGAATCTATTAATTGTGCGAATATGTTGCCCGTCTATGAAAGCAAACCGTCTGGTAGTTACGCAATGCTATAGACTGAAAACCGCGGTCGAGTGCTTCCGGTGGAAAAGGCCAAACGCGTCGAAGCTACAGCAATCGGCGTCGATCGCTGGATCGCGATTAGACGGCTTCCCGTCATTGCGTCAGCGACGGACGGTTGGTAAAGAAGTGTCGACGAGCGTTCCCTCTTCCTCGTTTCTTTATCACGACGCGTAATCGAAGCGCGTGCATTTAATTCCATCGAAACACAATTAACGCGGGTAACGACGCGACGGCGCGTGAACGCAGCCTGCCTACGCGTATACGTGCCTGTAGGTACCCGCGTCCGACAATCCTATTAAACCTTTCAAGGTGGAACCTTTTATGGGGCTTAAATCGATTCCGCGGGGGAAACTCAGCTTCTGTGTCGTTTTACGATTTCTGTTTTATTTGTTTACGTATGTTCGATAAGTCCGACGTTTAAGCGGATCGGGAGAAGGCAAGTGTGAACGGTAGGGAGAGACGCGTAGTTAAATACGAAGCGAGTGCTGCCGATAGCAAAGTATTTTTACTTGGAACGTCTCGAAATCTAGAATCGTGTATAGATGGAAACGTAAATAACCGTAGAACAAGAAGAAGAAGAAGAAGTCAAAGTCGGCAAGACGTGTGTGAGAGAGGGTGGAAGATGTCTGCGATTTATGACACCCTTCCAGAACACTACACGCCGCTCCCCTGTAATCACTTCTTCTGTTCGGTGGAGGAGAGAAACGCCTCGGAATAAGAGAGAGCCCCGGGAGAGGTGGAGAAAAAAAACCTTGAGACACGAGACATTGGACGAAGGGGCCAGATACAAAGATAAGCAATTGGCGCGAGACCGGGGAATGGCAGGGAATAATGGTCACGGGTGGGACAGGCAGGGTGGCGATTAGAAAACGGGACAAAATTGTCTCTGCGACTTACTCCCGAGGATCGTGCCACGGGACAAAAGGGAAACGTCCAGCGTGGCTGATGAGAAAAAAGGGGACAGGGGATAGGGGAACAAAGGACGTACCCCGTCACGGTACGACGACGTTGCCACGGCGAAATTGTAGAGTTAATGCGCGCGATGCGCGGGGTTGTTTGGAAATTAGTGTGGTTGTTTTTGGCGGCTCTGCTGTTTTTCGGTAAGCGAGAAGAGAATTCGCAGGACTCGCCAGTTAATCGAGTAATTTAACGCGGTCGCATTGTACTCTCTGTTATTAACTCTTTCTTATATATATCCTCCAACTAGTGGTGCAGCAAGAATTTTAAATCATGAAATACCATGTATCTTCCCCGCGTGCCCTTTTAATACGTGCCCGTAATTATTACTATGTTACCGACAAATAAACTGCGGATTCGTATGCAAAACAAAAGATTTATCATTATAAGTATCGCGAAATGCACGCAAACTATACGTTACATGCATTATTTATAATTTCTGCATATTCAATTCTTTTATAAATGCAGTCCACTGGTGAAACATCATTGCGCGTTTCCAGAAAAGGTGAAGGGTCATTCATATAATCCACTCGTTCGTTAAAATGATAAATCGCAGTAAGTGTATTGATTAACGAAGTATGAAACTGCGACGACGTTATTGGATAAAATTAACACCCACGCGGGTTCCGAGAAAAATGTACACATAAACGGCGTAATTAACCAAATCCTCTAAATTAACTTGGAACTAGGGCTTCGTGCTAAACGTTCCTATGACAAAGCACGCTTAAAATTCTTTTCCTCGAGTGGCCAGCGGTCTCCCGTGAGACCAAAATGTTCTGCGAGAAGATCAACTGAATCATTTTAATTATCGTTTATATTTTTTATCGTTATATTACTGATAAAT